CCCCTTCTCCGTGTCCCCCCTGTCCCCCCCCCCGTGTCCCCCCACCCCTCCCACTGCACCCACCATGTCGCCCAATGTCCTCCCTGCTCCCCCCAGTGTCACCTCCCTGGCCCCCCAGCCCCCCTGGGGAGTCTGCAATGTCCCCCTGATGTCCCCCAGTGTCCCCCTGATATCCCCCAGTGTCCCCCGATATCCCCAGTGTTCCCCTGGGCTCCGAGGAGCAGCTGAGGCAGCGCTTGGCAGAGGCTGAGGCTGAGTGAGTCAGGGACACTGGGGACACTTGGGGACAATGGGGACCCCTGGGCACAGTCTGGGGGCACTTTGGGGACAGTCTGGGGGCACTTGGGGGCAGTCTGGGGATACTTGAGGGCACTTTGGGGACAGTCTGGGGGCGCTTTGGGGGCACTTTTTGACCACTCTGGGGACACCTGGCAACAGTCTGGGGACACTTGGGGGCAATCTGAGGGCACTTGGGGACAGTCTTGGGGTACCTGGGGACACTTGGGGAAATCTGGGGACACTTGGGGCCACTTTTTGACCACTCTGGGGACACTTGGGGGCACTTTGGGACACCTTGGAGCACTCAGGGGACACTTTGGAGTCGCTTCAGGAGCACTTTGAGGACAGTTGGGACATTTTGGGTCACTTGGAGACACTTGGGGACATTTGAGGACACACTGGGGACACCTGAGGGCTCTTGGGGACCCCCCAGGTGGGTGGTGGCCACAGCTGAGGGGGGCTGGAGTTGCTTGGGGCACTCTGGGGGCACTCGGGGGACACTCCCCAGACTGGTGACACTGCGGGCATGCGTGGGGAGGGTTTGGTGACCCTTGGTGGCATTTGGTGACATTGGGGACAGGCTGGTGGCACTGCGGGTGCGCATGGGCAGGGTTTGGTGACACCAATGACCCTTGGTGACATTTGGTGACACCAATGACCGTCGGTGACATTGGTGACACTGTCCCCTGGCTGGTGGCCCTGTGTGCCCGCGTGGGGTGGGTTTGGTGCCATTTGGTGACATTGGTGACATTTGGTGACAGGCTGGTGGCCCTACGTGCCTGTGTGGGGTGGGTTTGGTGCCATTTGGTGACATTGGTGACATTTGGTGACAGGCTGGTGGCCCTGCGTGCCCGGGTGGCCGTGGCCGAGCTCCGGGCTCAGGACGTTTCCCGCGCGGCCGAGCTGCAGCTGCAGGGACTGCGGCGCCAGCTGGAGGTACCGGGGGACATGGGGACAGCCCTGGGGAAGGGGGGACACCTGGAACAGGGGACACCTGGGGACATGGGACAACTGGGGACAGCCCTGGGGACAGGGGGGCACCTGGGAAAAGGGACACCTGGGGACATGTGAACACCTGGGGCAGGAGACACCTGGGGCCATGGGAACAGCTGGGGACATCTGGGGGCAGGGGACACCTGAGGACATGGGGACAGCTGGGGACGCAGGGACAGCTGGAGGTACCAGGGGACATGGGGACAGCTGGGAACACTGGGGACACCTGGGGATAGCCCTGGGGACACTGGGGAAAGGTGGGAACACAACACACCTGCGGACAGCCAGGGACATGCAGAGGATGACAGTGTCCCTGTCCCCAGCAGGGTGACAGTGTCCCTGTCCCTGTCCCCAGCAGGACAAGGCCCGGGTGCCAGCAGGGTGACAGTGTCCCTGTCCCTGTCGCCAGCAGGACAAGGCCCGGGTGCCATCAGGGTGACAGTGTCCCTGTCCCTGTCCCCAGCAGGACAAGGCCCCGGTGCCAGCAGGGTGACAGTGTCCCTGTCCCTGTCCCCATCAGGGTGACAGTGTCCCTGTCCCTGTCCCCAGCAGGACAAGGCCCCGGTGCCAGCAGGGTGACAGTGTCCCTGTCCCTGTCCCCAGCAGGGTGACAGTGTCCCTGTCCCTGTCGCCAGCAGGACAAGGCCCGGGTGCCAGCAGGGTGACAGTGTCCCTGTCCCTGTCCCCAGCAGGACAAGGCCCCGGTGCCAGCAGGGTGACAGTGTCCCTGTCCCTGTCCCCAGCAGGACAAGGCCCAGGTGCAGGCCCAGGTGACGTCACTGCTGGGGGAGCTCCGGGAGAGCCAAAATCGCCTGGAGAGGAGCCGGGCGGAGAGGGAGCACCTGGAGCGCAGGTGGGACATGGGGACACCTGGGGTGATGCGGGGACACCTGGGGGTCAGGGACTGTCCCCAAGGGGAGGGGACACCGCAGCAGAGCCGGGCAGAGCGGGAGCACCCGGAGCGTGGGGGGTGACACCAGTGCAGGTGACATCGGGTGACACTGGGTTGTCACAGGGCTTCAAGGGATGCTGGGCAGTGCCACCAGCTCAAGGAGGTGACATTGGGTGACACTGGGTGACACACAGAGCCCACAGGGATGCCGGGCAATGCCACCAGTTTGAGGAGGTGGCAGGGGGTGGCACAGGGTGACAGTGGGGTGACACGGTGGCACTGTCCCAGGGCCCATGGGGACACTGAGCGGTGCCAGCAGCTGGGGGAGGTGGCACAGGGTGACAGTGGGTGACAATGGGGTGTCCCTGTGCCGCAGGGCCCGCGGTGACGCCGAGCGGTGCCAGCAGCTGGAGGAGGTGGCCCAGGGCCACCAGGTGCAGCTGGACCAGCTCCGGCTGCAGGTGACCAACCTGGAAACCGCCCTGAGGGTGGAGCGGCGCGGGGCCACCGAGGAGAAGTGAGTGACAACGGGGACATGGGGACACGGGGAGGAGGGAGTGACAACGGGGATGTGGAGGGGGACATGGGTGGGTGGCACCCACTGATGTCCCCAGTGTCCCCTCACTGTCCCCAGTGTCCCAGGTGGGAGTTGTTGGTGCTCAAGGCCACCTGTCCCAGTGAGGGGACACAGGGGAGGGAGTGACACTCTCAATGTCCTCCGTGTCACCAAGGCAGAAGCCACCTGTCCCTGATGATGTCTCCCCAATGTCCCTGATGATGTCCCCAGTGTCCCCTTGCTGTCCCCAATGTCCCCAGTGATGTTCTCAATGTCCCCAACATCCCCTTTCTTGTCCCCAGGTGGAAGTTGGTGCAGCTGCACCTGTCCCCTCAATGTCCCTAATGTCCCCAGTCATTGTCCCCAATCAATGTCCCCAATGTCCCCATTCAATGTCTCCAATCAACATCTCCAATGTCCCTGCAATGTCCCCAGTCGCTGTCCCCAATGTCCCCAGTCGACGTCCCCAATGTCCGCAGTCAATGTTCTCAATGTCCCCAGTCACTGTCCCCAATGTGCCAAGCAGAAGCTGGTGCAGCTGCAGGCTGCCTGTCCCCACTGTCCCCAGTCACTGTCCCCAGTGTCCCCAATGTCCCCAGTCACTGTCCCCAGTGTCCCCAATGTCCCCACTGTCCCCAGTCACTGTCCCCAGTGTCCCCAATGTCCCCAGTCACTGTCCCCAGTGTCCCAGGAGAAAACTGGTGCAGCTGCAGGCCGCCTGTCCCCAATGTCCCCAGTGTCCCCAGTCACTGTCCCCAATGTTCCCACTGTCCCCAGTCACTGTCCCCAATGTCCCCACTGTCCCCAGGAGGAAGCTGGTGCAGCTGCAGGCCGCCTACCATCACCTGTTCCAGGAGTACGACGCCCACATCAAGGCCAGCCTGGAGGGGGACAAACGGAGCCAGGTGAGGGACAGGGGACACCTGGGGACACCTGGGGACACAGAGGGTCACGTTCCCTCCCCTGGGGACCCCAGAGCAGCCCCTTGTCCTCTGTTCCATTCTCTCTTGGGGACACCTGGAATGTCCCTGTGGTGGTTCAGGTGCCCTCAGGTGAGTCCCCAGGTGACAGTGCCACCCCCCAGGTGTCACTTTACTGCCCCAGATGACACAGGAGCGTGCAGGTGGGTGCTGGGGGTGACACAAGTGATCTCCAGGTGACACAGGTGACATCCCCAAGGTGTCACTGTCTCCCTGCAGGTGACCCAGGAACAGCTGAGTCTGCCATTGTGGGCCGGGGGGTGACAGAAGTGTCCCTCAGGTGACCCCCAGGTGACACAGGAGTGGCTCCATGCGGCTGAGGCTGCGCTGGGGGTGCAGTGGGGGTGATGGGCGGTGACACAGGTGTCACACATGCTCTCCCAGGTGCTCTCACAGGTGTCACAGGTGCCTCTGTCCCCCTGTCCAGGTGACACAGGAGCAGCTCCGTGCGGCTGAGGCCGCGCTGGGAGTGCAGTGGGGGGGACTGGGCAGTGACACAGGTGTCACAGCTGCTCTCCCAGGTGCTCTCTCAGGTGACACAGGTGTCACAGGTGGCCCTGTCCCCTGTCCAGGTGACACAGGAGCAGCTGCGGGCGGCCGAGGCCGCGCTGGCCCTCAAGCAGGAGCTCATCGATCGCCTCAAGGCCGAGGCCGAGCGCCAGCGAGCGGCCCTGGAGACCATCCCGGTGCTGCAGGCCCAGGTGGGGCTGGGGGGTCCTTGGGGGGTCCCTTTGGGGGGTCCTGAGACCCCCCCCAAACCCAGGGCAGTGTTCTCAAGGTGGGATTGGGGGGATCTGGGAGCATCAAGGGGGATTTGGGGGTTCCCACAGGGGCTTGAGGGGTTCTGAGGGAGCTCAGGTGGGTCCTGGGGAGGTCCTGATCCCCCCCAGAGCCCCCCTGAGGAGGTTTGGGGGGGCCCAGTGGGATTTGGGGGATCCTGAAGGAGTCCTGACCCCACCCCACAAGTCCCCCTAAAATCCAGGCTGACGTCACCGAGGCGGACCAAGGGAGCTCTGGGGAGATTTTGGGGATTCCCTGGTTGGATTTTGGGGAGTCCTGACCCCCCTGGCCCACCCATGTCCCCAGTGTCCCCAGGCCGACATCCACAGGGCAGATTTTGAGGTGGAATGCACGCCATTGGGCAGGGGTTGGGTGGATTTGCGGGTTCTCTGGTTGGATTTTGGGGTTCCCAGGTTGGATTTTGGGGTTCCCTGGTTGGATTTGGGGGTTCCCATGTTGGATATGGGGGTTCCTGATCCCCCGGTGTCCCCAGGCCAACATTTACCAGGCAGATTTCAAGATGGAGTGGGTGGCACTGGGTGGGGGGGTTTGGGTGCATTTGGGTGGATTTTGGGGTTCCCTGGTTGGATTTTGCAGTGTCCTGACCCCCGGGTGACCCCAATGTCCCCAGGCTGACATTTACAGCGCGGATTTCGAGGCAGAGCGCGCGGCACTGGGGGGGGTTAGGTGGATTTGGGGGTTCCCCGGTTGGATTTTGGGGGTTCCTGACCCCCCGGTGTCCCCAGGCCGACATTTACCGCGCGGATTTCGAGGCGGAGCGCGCGGCGCGGGAGCAGCTGCACGGGCAGCGCGAGGCTCTGCAGGAGGAGCTGAACCAGCTGCGGCTGCGGCTCGGCGGGGACGGGGCCCGGTACAGCGCTGACACCCCAAAAACACCCCAGAACATCCCAAAAACACCCCAAAACCACCCCAGAGCACCCCGAAAAAAAACACCCCAGAAACACCCTGGAATACCCCAAAACCACCCCAGAACATCCCAAAAACACCCCAAAACCGTCCCAGAACACCCCGAAAACACCCCAAAACACTCCGAAAAAAAACACCCCTGAAACACCCCAAAACACCTCCAAAACGCCCCATAACACCCCAAAACCACCCCAGAACATCCCAAAAACACCCCAAAACCGTCCCAGAACACCCCGAAAACACCCTGAAAAAAAAACACCCCTGAAACACCCTGGAATACCCCAAAACCACCCCAGAACACCCCAAAACCACCCCAAAACAGCCCCAGAGCACCCCGAAAACACCCCAAAACACTCCGAAAAAAACCACCCCTGAAACACCCCAAAACACCTCCAAAACGCCCCATAACACCCCAAAACCACCCCAGAACACCCCAAAACCACCCCAAAACAGCCCCAGAGCACCCCGAAAACCCCCCAAAACACTCCGAAAAAAACCACCCCTGAAACACCCCAAAACACCTCCAAAACGCCCCATAACACCCCAAAACCATCCCCAAACAAACCAAAAGACCCCAACTTCCCCCCAGACACCCTGAACTCTTGCAAAACAACAAAAACAGCCCAAAATCTCTCCCAAAACACCCTTGAAGACCACAACAGAAGCCCCCACTCTAAACCAACCCCAAAGCACCCAGAACACCCCAAAACCAACCCCAAATGCCCTGAGGATACCCCAAAACACCCCCAGGCACTCTGTTCCCCCTCACCCTCTTCCTTGACATCCCCCAGACCCCCCAAAATCCCCCAACTACCCCAAACACTGGGCGCCCCCCCTGCCAAAACCCCCCTGAATCCCCAATGGCCCCTGAACAACCTCTAGGC